CCATAGACTTGGTCTCTGAAACAGGGGCAGTGCTACCCTGTCTTACAGACTCGCTATGAGTCGGAATCAACTCAATAGCAGTGAGTCTTGCTTGCAGAACTGCAAGATTAGGCTTGCAGGATTTCAAAGCTGCATGTGTGGCAAGAAAAGAATTTGTTGGGAGTAATGGCTGATTTGAGAAGCTCTGGTGGTGTAGGTTACTTGCTGGGTTGCTATTTATAACCCACTTAAAAGCACCAGTTCGAACCCATCAAGATTTACAGTCTCAGAAACTCACAGAGGGCAGTTCTACCTTGTCCTATACGGTTGCTATGAGTTGGAATCTCAGTTTGGCAGTGAATTTGCCTTTTGGAGTGGTTGGTTCAATTGTTTCAAAGTGAGGGCAAATTTACAGAATTAGAGACAGTCATGGACCTAGTGCCAACTGCAAGCACTAAAATGTGGCCCTGCCCAAATTTCCTTCTGCAAAAACTCAGCTACCATGCTATTTTGGATTTTATATGCACCGATGTTTACTTTGCTTGAGGCAGACTGATAAATGGTTATCAGGATTAAGAGAAACCCTTGAAACAGAGCCTACACCCAGGATATACTCCGTAAAGGGCAATTTGTTTTTAAGTTGGATGTTCTTAGCCCAGGGACTGCATAAACACACATACACACCCCCCCGGTGATAAAAGCATATACGGCACGCAGTTCTTATTATAATAAAATGCTGCTCACAGGAAAAACATTTTAAAGTTACAAGTTTGGTTCTCTGCCTACCTATATAAAAATCTTTATTATCCCTACATTACATTTATACATACACACAATAAAATTGTGATAAAGTAGACCATGTCACTTTTTCTGAAAAATACAATTTAGTATTTCATTCTTTTACTCCTATAGAGGGGGTGACTTTATTTTCCCTTCCTCTGAGTAAGAACTGACTTTCTGGATGGCAACAAACTGTTCATTTTAGAGGGGTCACTTTCAGCAAAGCTGTTTGACAGCAAAATGGGTCAATTTATTTTGAAGGCCCATCCTGGACTGGATCAAACCTCTCAGCACTCATGCCTGCAACTGGGCAGATTGTTGGACAGGTTTTATACAGAAGACAATCCAAAAAACAAAAACCAAATTAAGTACCATCGATTCTAACTCACAGCAACCCTACAGGACAGGGTAGAACTGCCCCTGTGGGTTTCCAAGACTGTAACTCTTTAAGGGAGCAGAAAGCCTCGTCTTTCTTCCAAGGGCTGGTTGGTGGTTTCAAATTACTAGCCTCGTGGTTAGGAGCCCCAAACATAGGCATGACGCCACCAGGGCTCCTACAGAAAGTGATAGCTTGTGTATATCCCATCTCATCTCTATCCCTTTCGTGGGTAGATGAGGGGGGGCAAAACTGACTAATCATTAAGGTTCATGTCTAAATTCCAGTCATCCATCACACCTTGTGAATGGTCACTGTAATCTTTTCCCTGCTGATTTCCAACTGGATGGTGAGAACCTTCTCAGGTAGTTTCAGGGTGCTGGCATGAGTTCTGCTGCGGAAGGAGAGAGGGCACTGTAGAGGAGTAACCCAAGTCAGGGGACACACAGACCGTATCTGTGAGTCCGCTATCATAGTTCTCAGGGAGGGAGGCTCCTGCACAGAGAGAACAGCCTAGGCTGGAGCTCCATCTGTAAGCAGCATGTGAAGCATGGAGTGGTAAGGCAGACCGGGGTTAGGATGCAGCTCCTCTCCTTTTGGAAGGGCACAGAAGGTCTCATGGAGGAAGAGATAACCTATCAGAAACTGAAAAGATTAGTAGAAAGGAGTAAGGTGATGAGAGTGGGGGTTTAGAAAGAGCATTTTAAGCAGAGAAAAGACCACCTGTAAAAGTTTAAAGGCAACACAAAACAGTGTTCTCGGGAGTCTTAAGTCGTGGGGCATAGTTAAAGTCTCAGAGGTTGAGAGACAAGATTTTGAGGGAAAAGGCTAGACACTTGGAGAAGAGAAAGATCTTGTGAATTTGTGCCTTCATGTACATAGGAACCACCTGGAAATTTAGTTCAGCTGCACACTCTGATTCTGAAGTTCAGAGATGGGGCCTGATCGTCTTGCATGTTCATTACCTGCTGTCAGTGCTGCTGCTGACCACACGTGAAGAAACTAGGTATGGAAGCCATGTTATGAAATTTGTATTTATCCACAGGGAAACCTGTGACAGGATTTTAAGCAGAGAAACTATGAACAGATTTGAATTCTAAAACAAACACTCTGAATGTTGTATGGAGACTGAACTGGATATTACAAGACTAGATAGAAATCTATGAGACTGTAGCTCTGATGTAGGCAGCCTACCTTCAGGAGGTATTTAGGAGGTAGGATTTGGTTATGACTGGACAAGAGGTGGAGGAAAGGGTTAAGAAGACAAAACCCCTATTTCTAGTGTGAGCAACCAGGCGGTGGAGTTGCCTATGTTGAGATAGGGAATGCAGGGAACATAGGGTTTTTTTGGGGGGAAAGAGGTTCAATTCGGGAGAATGTGATTTTGAGGTGCCATTGATTAATCCATGAGACAAAGTCTATCAAGCACTAGCCAACACTGTAACTGGGCCTACACCAAAGATAAAGAGTTCACAATTATCATGCTTTACATAGTACGAGAAGCCTTGTAGGCAGATAATCTTGTAAAGGAAGTCAGCGCAGTTTGTAAAACAAGTCCTAGTGATGCACTAGGTTGTGTCGAGCTGCTAAACACAAGATTGGAGGTTCAAATCCACCAGCCTGCTCCATTGGAGAAAGAAGAGGCTTTCTGCTCCCATAAAGACTGCAGCCTCAGAATCCATATGGAGTACTGCTACTATCCTATAGTGTCGCTATCGCACAGCAGCGGGTTTGGGTATTTAAACATAGATTAGATGAAGCAGTGATAACATGTGGACTCTCCAGTTCACACAAGGTCCCTTCCAGGCAGTGCAGACAATCCACCTACCTCACACAGACAAGAAAGCATCTACATTTTAACAGGACTTCCACAGTGACAAAAACAAATGATGCCTACCCATTACCAGATGGTAGAATTTCAACCTTCTTACTAAAAAATTCTTTTCTTGGGATTTGTCCAAGTTGAAATTTCTATGAAATGTTTTGTTTGTAATAGATCATGTTCACACTTACAGATGGGTAACTTCAGTTATCATTTGCTCAGGTTCATAGACTTTATAAAGTATATGTCTGAACTCTTGGAATTTCATTGCTTTGTGAACTTGGATATATTACTTATCATCTCTTTTAATTGGTTTCCTCACATATGAAAATGATAACATATAAAACACCTATACCCAACTAGAAGTTGCTGAATTTGTGAAGCTTCTCATTCGTGGCCTTCCTCATTTGAGTTGGATACAAAATCAGATGTACGTAGTCCAAAACAGCAAAGGAGCAACAGAGAGTGTGAGATGCTCAGAAAGTTCCAGAGTTACGCCTCTAATCTGAAATTGCCTTAACAGCACCTATCATCCAGCTACGGCTGCCCCAAGAACCCTTCCTGCTTCTCCCTAATACAAAGGTAAGAAGTGCCTTGCAAAGGCCTGGATAACAATTTCATTTATGAGCTTTCCTTGGTATCCTAAAGAAAAGAATGTCAAGGAGAAAATCAGATAAAGTTGGAATGTTTCAGTGACCTGAAACGAGGTGTCACTTTCCAAAGTGCCTTATACTCATAGCCGTTTCTGGCAAAAAGCACCCGTTTCCAAACTGAAAAGCAATACCACGTCTTGAGACTGCCAGCCAGCATGGGCATGGGGTGAACTGTGCATACAGACCTGTGCAGACTATGTCACCAACGGTTACTCTGAAGGTGAAAGTGGGCACATGTGCATCGGATCTTTCACATTCATAAACCGGGACGTTCTTGGTCTTCATGCCGTATTCATGTAATACCTGAATCGGTGTTTTCCCTGGCTTAGCTGTAACCATCTTCCCCGAACTGCAAAACACAGGGGGAAAGGTGTGCTTTGCTTACGAAAGCAACGGAGAAAGAGAGGGTAGCCTAAGCACAGAGGCCAGCCTTGACGGCTGCCAATCGTGGCCGGGGCGGGGCCTCTGCTTTCTGGCAGCCAGAGTTTGCTCGGATGCACTAGCCTCCCGGTCCCGCGGCGGCACGCAGGGGCAGGGGCAGGCAGGGCACGGGATGTAGTTAGGGAGGTAGCTTCAACGCCAGTAAAGGGGTTCTCATGGGGACCAGACGCAAGCCGGTGCTGCTCAGCCTGAGGACCAAGCCTGCAATCCTCTGCTCCGAGTTGGAGCCTTCAGTTAAGGCCGCCGCGCGCTACCTCCGGCCTCCACCCCCGCCCACGTGGTCCACCACCGCAAGGGGGCGGGGCCGGCCACAGACCCAGAGGGCGGGGCCGAGCGCCCGAGCACCGCCCGCAGGCAACGCAGGGGCGAGCGCCCAGAGGGGCTTCTCCCAGAATGCCGCGGGACAGCCGAATGCCCGCCCCCCGCCTCAGCTACCCCCCACCCTCCCCGTTCAGGCCCCGGCGGTGCGGGCGCTGACCTGAAGGTCCCGCTGTCCTCGCGCTCCAGCGGCGGGGCCGCAGCGCGGTGGTGCCTGCTCTGGGACATGACGAGAAAGGAGAGCGCGGCGGAGGGAGACAGAGCGCCACGAAACGACGTCCTTGACCCGAGGGTCAGCCGGTACCCCAGAGCTGCGTCCCGGCGCCGCCGCCCTCCTCCCACTCCCGGCCTCCCGCGCCTCCACCCTTCCCGGCCCGGATCCCTGTGGCGAGGGGCGGACACGGGCGGGGGCGGAGCCTCGGCTCGGGGGCGGCCCCGGCCACGCCCCCCGAGAGCCCCTCCACTCCAGGCCCGTCTTCCGGCCCGGCCCCGCCCCGCGCGCGACTCCGCACGGTCCGCGCCCGCCCTCTTCCCGTCGGCCCGCCCTTCTCCCGGTGCTTTCTTCCTGGGCACCCTCCCTCTGATGCGCCTCATCTGGCCTGCGCAAGCCAGCCCGCCCGCACCCGCACGGGCCCAGCCCTTTGTCCTTACCCGGAGGCCGAGTCCTACTGGGAGCCTAGGCTGGTGGGTCAGATGTGGGGTGCTTGAAGCACACACCGACTCCCCACCCCCAGGCGGCATTGGGACGAGCTCACTGTAAGAAAGTGTGCCTATTCCCGAGTACCCAATTGCTAAGGCGCCGAACCACGGGACTGGAGCCTGGCGTTAGATTCACGGAAGACGTTCTCTTGGTTCCCACACCCTGTCTTTAGGGGCAGCAGGGTCGCCCCGAGACCACCCCTATGCCCGCCCACCCCTCACTTAGCAGTCTCCTTTGTCTTCAGGTTTGGGTGGTGGTGCTGGTGCAGGGACCGCAGTGAAGCATGGTTGGTATAACTAGGCTATTCTATAGACCAGATTCCAATTAAACGCATTTTCTGCCAATCTTTTTGTTTGTAATTTTGCCAGTCTTGATGAGGGCCAGACAACCACGTTAGAAGCATTGCTTCTCTAGTTGTTCGTTATCCACTTGCAGAAATGACTCCCTGTGCTTACTTTGTATTCTGGAAGATTGCTTTGTACAACACTGTTTTCACAAAGAGGCATCATGAAAAACCGTTTATTTTTTAGGTCGCATTCGAGTTCCGGATACTTAAAAACATGATATGACCAGGATCTGTCAGACAGATTTTTCCTTATTTCAGGCTTGAATTAAGCCTGTTCTTACCCCCTCTTCCCTCGTTATTATGTATGTACCAATTACTATTCACTAAAGATATGCTTTTCTGAATTTATAAACAATATTATAAGCACGCAGCTACTATTTCAAAATGCATTACCATCCACATAACAACCATGGCAATGCAATATTTCAACACCCAGTATATAGTTTATAAAATCTGTACCCTCAAGATTCCTTGAGAACGGTGGTAAATTGAGGGACTGGATGATAATGCAATGCAGCTCAATCCTCTGCTCATAATTACAGGTCTGGAAAGCTGACTCCAGTGGGGGAAGACCCTCATGGTTATGAGATATAAACAGATCTCAATCTACATTCTCATTGTAAAGGTGGAACTGAGGAACAGGGAGAAAGAAGGACATAACTGACAGGACAAGGGAGAGCAGAAATAGGAATAGCTTCATTAGGGGGTGGGGGAGCTCCCGGACAGGTTCCATGACCAAGGCCAACAGGTCAGGGAAGTTGTGCTCAGCAGCTGGTGCTCAGCAGCTGGGGTCAAGGGTTTTTAAAGGGGTAGTGAGGAATGTATGGCATTATGGCAATAAGCACATGGGTCTGGAAACTGGGAGAATTGCTTGTCGACTCCTCACAGCTTTCTTTGAACCCAGAACATCTGGTTTCACTGGTTATCTGGCGCTGGCTGCTGCTGGCCATTGGGATGTGCAGGGAAGCACATGCAGGGCCTGGACCTGTTTCAGCTTAGTCCAAACGGGGGCTGCCTTGTTCTGACCCGACCCAAACATTCCAAACTTCTTAATATTGGTGATGGGGTGACCTTTTCTGTCTTAACTACTTCCTGCTGAGATAGAGCAAAGAAGGCCCAAACACTCATGACTGGTCAGAGTCCCTCCAGTAATCCCCCATAAAGGAACTGTCATAAAAGAGGGAGCTACCATAGGAGATGAGTCATTCCCGTGTCTGGCTGTGCCTGGAGGTTATCTGTAGATAAAAGAAATCAGGTTCTATAGGCGAATCCATTGCAAAATACAGCAAACCCCTGGGGAGGGCTCAGGGTTGTTTGAGGTCAACTAGCACTAGGTCAAGATGACTCACCTCACTGCTGGTTTATTTTGCTACCCACTTATATTACCCATTGACTATATAATATGTCTGCTGTATGATGCGTATGCCTTTTGAAAGATCTGTAAGCCCCATAGTATGTACCCATTGGAAAATATGTTCCCTCTCTTAGTCCTGATATAGGGACAAGAAGCCCCTGTGGCCTGCTGGTTGCCGATTTATCATTTCCCACAACCTCAAAGTTGCTCCGGAGGACCCGTTTGACTGAGGACTCTCACCCACAGAGAACCCTACCCAAACCTCACCTAGTTCTCTTTTTAAAGAAAGTGGGATAGTAATAGGGCACAGAGAAAGAAATGCAGGAGGACCATGCAGTATTTTAAAGAGATATAGTCCACATGTACTTCATGTGTACTTCAAAGTATAAATACCTGTCTATATTTATACAAGTACTTAACATGATATGTAGCTTTAATCTGATATTTTTTAAAAGACTGGAATACAATCGTTTGCCAAGATATTGTGAACTTACATGGTTTTGAAGGCATAAACCTGCTGACTCAGAGGAATCTCACAGGACCCAGTAGAACTGCCCAATGGGGTTTTCCAAGGCAATCATGCTGGTGGAAAGCCTGCTGCACCCTTTCTCCACCCCCACCCCCCACTCCCCATCCTCCCCCTCTCACCCCCCATCTGTAGGTGGGTTCAAGGGGCAGGGCTTTCAGTTAGTAGCCTGGGGCTTAACCACTGAGCTGGCTCCTAGGGGAAAGAAAATGAATGAAATGCTGAAATAACAGGCTATATATTAAAGAATACAAAATAGTAACTTACTGTGGTCAAAATTAGATAAAGGAATTCCTTTTGAAGTAGGCACACTGTAAATGTTCCCTAGGGCTAAAGCTGATGCTGACATCCCTTTGTGTTCCACAGAGCTGTATGCTCTTCTCTAAACTGACCCACTGCTAAATCCCTATTAACTGTGACCCCATCAAGAACATTGGTAGCATTTTAAAATGACTAGTCTCCCCTATCTATTTTAGTGCTACAGACTGCCATTCCAAATTAGACTTGCTTTTAGTGTCTCACTTTACACTGTTGCTCTATAATTCATGACCGGGGCACATGCTGGGAGGCTAGGCAGAGTTGTGAATTCTGTGCCCGTCAACTACTGGGTGAAAACCATGTTTTGGATTCCATGTGTACATAGTTATATTGAAAACCAGGCCAGGTGTGACCTTGTGCCTAATTTTCTGCCTTGAAAATATGGATTTGTTATCTAAAGGTTGCAGCTGATGACATTTTGATATTAATATGTTTGCTGCTGCTACCAAGAGCTTCGTAAAGCAAGTTGGAGATGGAGGGAGATTAGTTCCTGTTCCAAGCCTCAGTGAAGCTGACAAATATCAACCCCTAAGTCTGGTGGTAAAAAAAAAGCGATGCTTTCTGTTTCCTAGACATAAGTTTACCTCAACGCCTTTTACCTTGAAAGATATTCTCCTAGGCGACAGAGAAATTTCGGCTGGTAAGTTTAAATGTCTGTTTGGGAGTGACTGCTCCCTCAACTGTCTTGCTGGTAACCTAAACTTAGATTGTATATGTATTACTAATGTTAGTAATACTGACATATATAGTCAATGATAAAAGCAACTTTTATTATAACAATAGTAGTAATCTTCAAACTAGTAATGTCTGAGTTTAATGGAAATATCAAATCTCATATTCGTTGGATAAACTTCTAGTCTAACAATTATTTTCTAAGTTGTTTTAATCAATTAATGTAAAATATGACACACTATTAAATGGTATTATTTTGGTCTACCTAGCTCACCAGGTCAAATGAGGTATTGGTGATATAGCAATCTGTGATTGTTGCAATTCATTTATTTACCACTGGTTAACTAAAATCTATCTTATGGACTAGATTGGCAAATAACTGGATGTTGACATCTTGAGAAGTTATTTCTCTTGAATACTTGTTTTTCTTTTTTCTTTTTTTTTAACATTTTATTAGGGGCTCATACAACTGTTATCCCAATCCATACACACATCAATTGTGTAAAGCGCATTTGTACATCGTTTCTCAAAACATTTTCTCTCCATTTAAACCCCCGACATTAGGTCCTCATTTTTCCCCTCCCTCCCCGCTCCCCCCTCCCGCATGAGCCCTTGATAGTTTATAAATGGGTATTTTGTCATATCACTTGTTTTTCTTTTAACCACCCAGCGAATCTTTATGCTTACGAGTTGCTGTTGACTGAAGAGGGAATTGAAGTTCATGTTAGGCATTTTGGCTGTTAAATTAATTGGATTGCTATTTTTAATCTTGGTTTAGATTGTTATTAACATTGGATATTTGAGTCTCAAATTATAAATTAATGCAGTACTAGAGGTGAAGTAAAGATATTTAACATATGCTGGTTTCCATTCTCGGAAGGTATTTCCTCTTATCAATTACTGAATTATGAAGACGAGTCAGACGTTTCACTGTATGGACGGCGAGGCAACCATATTGTGAATGATGTTGGGATCAATGTTGCTGGATCCGATTCTATTGCTGTAAAAGCTTCCTTTGGTGTAGTAACCAAACATGAAGTGGAAGTATCAGCGTTACTCAAGGAAATTACCACACGGTCAGTACAATACTCCTTCGTATATTTGAATGTTTCCATGAACTAGTTTAACTATACAAACTCCACTATAAAAGATTTTACAATTTTGGATGTATTTTACTAGTATGATCTTTGAAAAAAAGACTACAAATTCATAGCATACCCAAACTTTGGATAAAGGTAGGTTGTTGAAAATGGTTTCACTTGTCAAGTTTTCAAATGTTCTTCAAAATTGCTTTGACTGTACACCAGTGGTTCTCAACCTTCCTAATGCCGTAACCCTTTAATACAGTTCCTCATGTTGTGGTGACCCCCAACCAGAAAATTATTTTCGTTGCTACTTCGTAACTGTCATTTTGCTAGTGTTATGAATTGGGCGACCCCTGTGAAAGGGGTCTCAACCCACAGGTTGAGAACCCCTGCTCTACACCGATTTGTTTAATCACGTGACTGAAAGAATACAGCAATCAGTCTGCAAAAAAAACCACGTCAATGAAACTCATCACCTTGTGAAACCTTCTCCCTGCCTTTTTCCTAGTTCTGTCCCCATTAATGCAAACTCAGTGCTCTCCATGGGAACAAAACAAAACAAAAACCTCCTTTTCCTGGTAGCGACTAACACATTTTGATTTCTATGTACAAAAACCCACCACCAACCTTACTACCATTGAGTCAATGTCAACTCATGTTTACAGGAGTAGAAAGTCCAGTCTTTCTCATAAAAGGAGACCACACACAGTTCGTCCTCTTGTGACTGATGTATTTAGTAGTTTCATATGCTCTCAGGGTGGTTGTGCCCTGTTCAGGTGTGTATCAGGACTTCATTTCTCTCTCTAGCTGAGGAATAATCCATTGTTTGTAGGTACCACATTCTGTTGATCTGTTATTTCTACCTGTTAGCTATTGTGAAAAGTGCCGCAATGAACCTTGGTGTACACATGCCTGTTTTTGCTTTCCCTTCTCTGCCTCGATTTACCTTTGGTTAAAGTAAACTATGCATAAAGTAATATAAAAGTAGACTGTGTAAGTAGCACATGACAGCAGACACTGGACTTGAGCCTTTGTAATTACATGTTACAGATTCTTGTGAATGTCTTTCTTCTTTATTTTAGGAAAATTAATTGTGACCACAGCTTAATACGTCAGTCAAGGAGCAGCAGAAAGGCAGTACTGTGTGTGGTCATGGAAAGTATTCGGACCACACGGCAATGCTCTCTGTCTGTGCATGCTGGAATTCGAGGGGAATCAATGAGGGTAATCCCACTCTCCAGACTTCTTTTAAGACTGCTCCTCATTTTCTAAAGACACTTGCAACTGCATGTATTTTGACAAATGTTGAGATTAAAGAGCCACAACAGTATAGAGTTTTCCCCAGTAATGGTTTTATGTCAGATTATGAAACACGGGCCCAAAAAGCTTGGGTTCTGACTGTGTGATATAATGCAACAAAAAGACCAATCCTTGTAATATGAAAAAATGTACTTGAGGCCCCTGTTGAGTGCTTCAGTTGAATTATTTTATTTTTAAGTGATGGAGTACATACTTTAAATCATGTTAAGGTGTATTTTTATTTTTATATTAAGCAATTATTCTAAAATAATATTTCCAGTGGTCAAACATCTTTCATTTAATGTTAATTTTTTTTTAAATCTTAGAATATTATGTGTAACTTTCAGCTCAGTGTTTATATTGTTTGCCCTTGTCAGCCCATGACACCTAACAATGTCTTGATTTTTATTAAAAGCTATTGAAAAATTGGGCTCGATGATAATTTCTCCAAGTCTCTACAACTAAGTATTTTTGGACAGTTGCTACATTCAGCAACCCACCAACTTCTGATGAAAGTTAAATTATTTGAGGTGCATGAACTGAAATTTAGTTGAAAATAAGTTGGTGGTTGCTTTGGGAAGCTGCTGAAATAGCTTTAGATACGGTCTTCTTTAAGAACCCTGGTAACCGAGTGGGCTGTGCATGGAGCTGCTAACCATAATCCAGTGATTCAAACCCAGCAGCTGCTCTGCCTTCCTTGGACAAAGAGGAGGCTGCCTTCCTCAAAGGTAGCGCTATACTCCACCCTATAAGGTTGCCATATGGTGGAATCAACTTGATGGCAGTGAGTTGAGTTTGGAACAACAAGGTAGTGCTGAAAAACTTCTAGTGTAGCTCTTAGTGCAGTTACCTCCCAAGATTTGTAATCGGAAGAAAAAGACTTTCCATCCAGAGAGCATTCCCATTGTGGTAGCACTCTTACCATTGATTCCACTGTCAAAGTAAGTGGGACAGTAGTGAGGAATTTCTTTAATGCAGATCATGAGTCCCAACTGAGTTTCTCTTATAAACACTTTGAATTTTAATTTAACGTTTGTCTTGGTAGAATTGTAGATGATTGTTTACTTCTTTTTAAACCTTATACGTGATGTTCCTTAATCTTTTTATTTATTTATTATAGTTTCATTTTATGGATGAACAGAATCCCAGAGGAAGAGACAAAGCTATTGTGTTTCCAGCACACACAACCATAGCTTTCAGTGTTTTTGAACTTTTCATCTACCTGGATGGTGTGTTTGGTGAGTGAATGATTTGCATGAAACACAAAATTACATATTTTAAAATTTAATTGAACCCTGTTTCTCTGTCCCGCCGACTTTCTGTCTGTTTCTAAGTGTGAGTAGTTACAAGAGTGTTGCCTTCAGCTCTGCCAGTCTCCTGCATGGGTGAAGTACCTGGGAAACACCTTTGCTTTCCTTCCCAAGCTGTGTTTTCTGTAGACTTCCACCACTGCTACCGAAGATACAGTCCATTGACACAGTATTCCTTGACTTACTAGGGGATAATCAATGTCCTATTACTAGGTAGTTTTTCCCTGGTGGCAAATAGAGAAGCCATTAACAGACAGATGTATGAAGGTGTCAAGAACCCAAACTAGGATGTCTTAATGTGGAAATATTTTCTTTAGTTTTTCGTTGACCCAAATTCCATTTTCGTGCCCCCTTCAAATAACCTTAAAAGTAGAAAACCAAACCAGTCTCACTGCTATCTAGTTGATTTTGATTCATAACAACCCTGTAGGATAGGGTAGGCCTGAACTTGTGGGTTTCTAAGACTATTTACAGGGACAGAAAGCGTCTTCTTTCTCCCGCAGAGCAGTTCATGTTGCAACCGATGTTGCGATTAACAGTCCTTCAGGTAGCCACTGTGTCACCAGGTTACAGTTCAGAACCCCCCATTACTCCACAGAAGACAGACGAGCCTTTCTAAGCCGGTGAGGAATTACAGTCTTGGGAACCCACAGGAGCAGTTTTCCTCGGCTCTAGACAGGGTTGCTATAAAAGATACCCATGAAAAATTTAAATGTATGTGTATTTTAACTCTGCATGTCTAGGAATTTATCCTCCGGATACTTAAACATACAAGAATGGACATGGATATAATAATATTCAGCTTTTAATAGCAAAAGATTGGAAATTATTTAAAAGATCTATTATCAAAATAAAATAAATCAAAGATCTATTGTTCAGGACTGTTAAGTAATGATACATCTACACAGTAGGATATCGTATAGTCATGAAATAAAGTCATTATATTAAAGAAATGCGAGTAGTGCACACCATGCAACTATTTGGGTATAAATCATTTTATACACTACGTACATAAGAGTACATGCCAAACCAAACTTATCAACAATTTCATTGCATGGTGATGCCGCTTGTTTCAGAGTAGAACCGCTCCACAGGGCTTTCCTGACCATCACGGAAATAGACGCAGATAGACGGGCCTTTACTTTGCTTCACCAACTGGATTCCAATTGTTTTGTGTATCCTCCTTTTAAAAACTCCAACAGTTTTAGAGCATTTTTTTCTACTCACTATTATTAGCTCCCCATTCCTCCCCTGCCCTACCCCCAAGAAACTGAATCCAGTTACTGTCTCTGGAGGTTGCCCTATCCTGTACTTCATATAAAGGAAAACCGTATAGTCCCTGTTTACATTCTCTGTATCATGTGAATATTACTTTTAAGACATTGTATAAAATTTAATTTTTAAAAATGCAATGGCACGTACCAGAATTTACCTCACACAACTAAAATGCCCAATAAAAACAAGTTGTTCCGATTAGAATATCTTACAGTATCTTTCCTTTTAGACCTGTGTGTCACGTCAGTGTCAAAAGGAGGATTTGAAAGGGAAGAGACAGCAACGTTTGCAGTACTCTACAGACTGAGAAATATCCTATTTGAAAGAAGTATGTCAAGTGAAGAGTATTTTGAATATATTTTTCTTCTTGAATTTATGCATCAGGTCTTTTATCCAGTAATCCCTTTTCTTAAAATTCCCCTAAACCCATAGCCATGGTGTCAGTTCTAACTCATAGCGACCTTTCGTAGGGTTTCCAGGACTGTAAATCTTTTCCAGAGTCAAGAGCTTCATCTTTCGTTAACAGAGTAGCTGGTAGGGTGCACGGACCACTGACCTTGTGGGTAGCAGTCTGCCACCTGACAGCACCCCCCGATGCAGAATTCCATTTTTTTTTTAAAGAAAGAATTTAAGGAGCCTCAGTGGCGTAGTGGTTGTGTTGGGCTGGGATTCACAAGGTCAGCGCTCAAAACCACCAGCACCTCCGTGGGAGAAAGACTGGGCCTTTCTACTCCCGGAAACAGTTTCACAAAGACACAGGGGCAGTTCTAGCCTTTCCTACAGTCACTATGCGTCAGTATTGACTCAATGCAGTGAGTTTAGTGGACCCCTGACAGCATAATGGGTTACGAGTTGTGCTAATAACTACAAGGTCATTAGTTCAAAACAGCCAACCAGGAGAAAGATGTGGCTTTGTACTCCCCTAAAGAATGATAGTCTCAGAAACCCCCAGGAACAGTTTTACTCTGCCCTGTAGGATCACTATGAATTGGAATCAACTCCATGGCCGTGATTGAGTAAAGAATTATTATTCATTTAGGAGTTAAATCAGAATCATGCTTTTTAATTTTTGACTTCTAACATATTTCTGCTTTTGTCCTTTTAGATAGGAGAGTGATGGATGTCATTTCTCGTTCACAACTTTACTTGGATGATCTTGTTTCGGACTTCTATGACAAACCTCTCAGTATGACTGATATTTCACTCAAAGAAGGGACGCATATCCGAGTCAACTTGCTTAATCACAACATTCCGAAAGGGCCATGCATCCTCTGTGGAATGGGGAACTTTAAGAGAGAGACAGTTTATGGGTGCTTTCAGTGTTCTGTTGATGGACAGAAATATGTGAGACTGCACGCAGTTCCTTGCTTTGATATCTGGCATAAGAGAATGAAATAAAATGAAAAATGACTATACCCTGCTGGTGTTTAAAATGCAAACTGTACCATAAACCTTTCCAAACTGTTGAGGTTCACTTTACTGAACTGCGGCAAATTGAAAAGCAATGTCAATAATACTTACTCTAAACTTTTTAAAGTATAAAGTTCAAAGTATGGAATTTATTAAACTTGACAATCACCTAAGAAACATTTTGGGGGATTGGGTCTATCAATTTCAACAATGACTTATATGAGATTTTCCACCCTGAATATAAATTTTTTATTGTGATAAATGTGATATATTTTATTGTGACTTATACAAACCATTTGCCAACAGTCTTCATATGTACATACAGTCCAGTGGCCATGATTTTCATCATGTTGTTCCAACTCATTTACTACCTAATCAGTTTTTACTTCAGTGTTTCCCAGAGTGGATGATACCACCCACTGTGGGGGCTGGAATGATAAAACAAAAAACCACTGCCATTCAATCAATTCCAACTCCTAGCAACCCCGTAGGACATGGCAGAATTGTCCCTATGGGTTTCCAAGACTGAAGCTGTTTATGGAGTAGAAAGTCTCCTCTTTCACCCTCAGAGTGGCTGGTTTCTGAACTTCCGACCTGCTGTTAGCAGCCCAATGTGTATCCACTACACCATCAGGGTTCCTTCAGGAATGATCCAAGGGGGCTGCAAAGCAGATTCTTACACTTTATCCTGGACCAAAGTTGTTCATTGCCAGGGGGATATTGAGTCACAAAAAAAAAGTTCCTGAAAAGGGGAAGGTTGGCCAAATAATTTTGAGAAATTGCTTAAATTCAACATTGAAAGATGACTTAAATGCAAAGGTGATGACTTTATGGTGCTTTAACTTTTGCCCTATGGTCTGGTAAAATGAGAAAAATGTGTTAAAAATTTAATGTAATCCTAAATGTTTAATTGCAGTGTCAAATTAAAAGCACATGGAATGCACCCTGAGGCTTGTGTGCAGTTAACAGGATGACTGAAAGCAGTAATGGGCTGCTGTTCTGTGATGGACCGATGCTCTCTAGTCTCCGTAAAATTCACTGCTGCCATTTTAAAGGTATGGCAGACAGGATGTGTCCATATCCTTTCTTTTCTGAAAATGGGTAAAGTATTTTTTAAACATATTTAGTTCTGAAAGATCTTTGTCATCTACTCTGTAGAACCTTTGAATATTTCATACACAAAACGTAAGCTAAATGATTAATTTACTATACACATCAAAATAACTAAAAAAATAATGAAATTCTAAAATTGAAAATATAGTCAGGACACGTTACCATGTATGTTAAAATTTATTGCTACTATTGTTCCAGTTCATCATGCATGCATGAGGGTGAGTTTGGCAGATAGACATACTTCGGTGAAGGTGGGAGAGCCCAGTCTATTAATCAGATCGCAGGGTGATGACGTTGAGGGTGTGGCCTTTGGTGTAAGAGGAGACCTTGAGTGGAGCCAAGCCCTTTGCCTTCTGCTGGATCTGGATCCTGCATTTGGTTTGAACTCCTGCCATGTCACTTGTCAATCCCTGGAGCTGTTGGTGGATTGCCAATCTTTATTTAGCCGACTGGATTAATTTACCTTTGCATCCACCAGCCTGTGACCCTCCTGCTTCATTATCCTGCTTCCTGTTCGTCAGCTTCCATCGCTACGAGTCAGAAGAGCCTTCTGCTTACATCCGAGCTAAGGACTTGAACCGGGGACTGTACTTGACTGCTTCTACAGCAATGTAAGCCATTTCTAGATATAAATCTCTCTTCACAAACACACGTCACTGGTTTTCTCTAGAGAACCCAACCTAACACACATGACACATTCCAAACAAAATGTTTTTAAACATACCTGACATCAGTGGCTGGCTGCAGACAAGTCTCAATAAATGGACTCAGTCTCATTAGGATGTGCTCAACAACAACAAAAAAGTCCAGTCAGAAGAACAGCATCTGCAGGGATCAGCTGAGTCAGTTAAATTTAAGGCAGATCAACTGAGAAAGTTAGGGCAACTATTTTGGGGAATTCTCAAGGGATAATCTTGATAAGTTTTATGAAGGATACAGGATGATTATGGGAACTTATTATGAAGAAGTTTTAAGAAAATTGGACCAACGGGTTTTTTTTTGCATCATGACAAAATACCTGCTCATTCTTTGAAGGCAGCCAAGGGCTAGCCTATGAGAATTTCATTGGGAAACCTTACCCCAGATATCCTACAGCTCAAGGAACATGATTTAAGTCCTTCAAGGATGCAAAAACTGCTGTTTTGATGCTGTGGAAATTAAAAAGTGCAGAATTCTTTGAGGAAGGGTTAGAGAGATGGAAATACCACCTTCAGAAGTGTAGAGACCTAGATGAAGGATGTGCTGGTGAGCGTCAATAGCTTCACATTTTGCTATTTTTAATAATGTTTCTATGATTTTATAGCAATGTTTTCTTACATACTCACATATATGCACATGAATGCATAAAGCAGTCAGGTAGTTACAAAATGCCTTTTTGAATATGTGTATAGCACAGTTCATTTATTTTAATTATTTAAATGCAAACAGTGGAATCTTTTTCCTATTCATTTAATTCATCCATGATTTTAAAAAACATGTACTTTGTATAAAAAGCAATGGGACAGAAAGTTTAAAAATATAATTTATTGTAGAAAATATGGTTTACATACTTTTTTACTGTATTTTTGCTTTATTCTGGTCAGAGTGTACTTTCAATCCATATACTTCTGTTTAGGAGTATAATGATTTAAAAAAGGCGTTGGTCAACATTTTCCAAACCAAAATATAACTAGATTGCATTATTATCTACTTAGTCTATTTCAACTGGGCAGATTTTTCAAAGGGAAGTAACAGGGATGAAAGTTGATTATGCAAATGAGGAGATGTTATAAAATTGGGTATATAAATATAGAAAAGACTGGGGGAAGAGTAAGTGGTTTTTGTTTCACTAAGTTTAAAATTCTGTGCTACACATATGTAATATCTACTCCAAATGGAAGTACTGAAAGTGTGTCTAAAAAGGTTGAAAAGATTAATAGTTTTGGAAGTGCAAATTTCAGATAGCAGGAAAAAAAAGTTACTAACTAAAAAATTTTTTACTAATTTTGAACTCAATTGTTTTGAACAAAGCTAATTATTTACCTGACCATACTGTCATATGAAGTAGGCAAAATCTGTCCTGTTCCAATAAATACCTCTTCTTTGGTACCAACTTGAACTTCTACAGGACCTTTTATCTCCTATTCTTAGCAAATTAGACTGGGCCATGATTTCATGACTGGGTCATAAAATTGCCATAGCACTAGTTTCCTCATCTATAGTATACAGAAATGAGAAATAACACATTCATCAAAATGCTTGATGGCATACCAGTTTGTAATGATCACTCATTAGTAGTAAGAGTGTTATGAAATGGAATGATGTAGGAACATTACCTACCTAGATAAAGGAAACTAGAAACTAAGCAAATTCCACAGCATCACTCTAAAGGTATCACATCAGCAATGTTAGTGGTGGTAGATATCTTACCAATGCCTACAGAATGAGAGGAGTAGGTGCAATTAAAAAGTGCTTGAATGAGTTTAAGACCCAGAGCAATGTAGATCTGTGCCTCTTAGAAGACAGAGGGCTCAAGGTCTGTGGTCTGGCCAAATATCTTTTAAGCACTCCCCTCTGGAACAAATAGCCAAGGCAGGCACCGCTAAATACAGGTTCAGGGTCTCTGATCTCTTCCTGCACCACATACTAAAAGAAGACTTTACGCCTAAGATTTTTATATTACAAGTGTGGAGCCCAAGTGGCACAGGATTCTGTCCCCATACAGATGTACAGTCTCAGAACCCTCTGAAGTTCTTCTGTGCCCTACAGGGATGGTATAAGTTGGAACTGATCATAGTCGTAAGTTATATTATCAGTGATGCCAAGAAAGGTGAAATGATCATTCATGAGTCCCGAATGAATAATTGTTAAATGCAAGGCATTTTAACCTTTAAAATATAGTAAAACTTTTATAAATCTTGACATATATGTGTTCCCATATATAATTTCCCACACAATGGGTATATCAAGGTACTGCAATTTGGGTTCACAGAATACAGAACTAAGAAACAAACACCACCACTTTCTGAGAAGTTAAATTTGCAAAGCAGCCTCACATTTATTATACTAAAATTACATGTATTCATGGGGACCAAAATATATCCTGCTACGGTGAAAACATAACTTGGAAAAACTGACCTTGTTTTATATTCAAAAGTACAGTATGTCACCAAGAAAATATAGAAATAAAAGTGTGCTATAGCTCATCATGTTGATATACATTATATTCCTTGGAAGAAATTAAGCCATCACCGTCATGGTCATTCTTCTTGAAAATATCTTCTAACACTGCATTCTGATATGACTTGTCACGTGGCTTCTTATCTTTCTCAAATTCCTTTTCCAAGTATTGATTTATCTATAGAATCAAAGCCAAAGTAACATCTCTTTAATAAAAAGGTCTAATAAATGTTCAGTAACTTTGAGTGAAACCCATATCCAAGACTATGTAGAGTAATACAAAATTTTACAAAGCTATTTCAGATTAGAAATATTTCTTTTGGAAACAATTTTCTGAAGAGAAAATGGTCTTCAAATTAGGTTCCCCTGAGGTTACAGGTGGTTGGTGCTGCACATTTTTTCAAAGCATTCACAATGTTCATAGAAAAATGGAATTAAAATGGAATTTTTCTGTGAACTTATTTTTTTTTAATTAAAAGATCATTTTATTGGGGGCTCTTACAGCTCTTATAACAATCCATACATCAATTGTTTCAAGCATATTTGTACATGTCTGTGAACATTTTCGAAGCTGTCTTGTTAAAACACACCAGGCTCTAATAGAACAAGCAATAGCCTTGCAACATTCATATTGGATATTCCCTGAAAGAGAGTACTGCAAATAGCTAACACAGTGAGCTCTCTGAAAGGTTAGAGGTTCAAGTCCTCTAAGAAGTATCCCAAAGAACGGTCTGGTAATTTTCTGCTCTCCATTCAGTCACTGAAATCCTGTGAGGCACAGTTCTAGTGATACACATGGTTCACCATGTGTCAGAATTGACTTGATGGGAGATAATCGTCTTTTCCCAGGGAGAAAGGTGATTGAATAGGAGTTGATCCATTTATTGATTTTATATCTGCTCAGAGCAACATGCTTTATAAATGCAAAATGATCATAGTCCATACTAGCTAGGACTTATAAAATAAAAATAAAAAGAACCTAAGCCCAAAACCAAACCCACTGCCAGTGAGCTGATCTGACTCTTGGCAACTCCACGGGCCAGAACAGTAACGCCTACCAAGTTTTCAAGGCTGCAAATCTTTACGGAAGTAAACGGTCACATTTTTCTTCTGTGAAGTGGCCGATGGGTTTCAGCCACTGACCTTTGGTCAGCAGGCCTGGCTCCTTATGTTATAACACAGATGTTTTTACATTGTGCTTAAAAAAATTAAGCTGACAGCTCGTAATAAAATGAATGAATGCATAAATAAATAGAAAATGCTCTAGGGGGAAAAATTAAAATGTGCACAATGAAAGGCGAATTACCTCATCTTTAGAGAGATGTCTGTCACTGTCCACATCTATTTGCTTAAATGTTTCAATGCTCCGTGGTCCCTTTGTCACAGCATAAAGTTCAATCTCAAAAATCAGTGTTGCATCAGGAGGAATCTTGCCTTCCACTAAGAGTGTAAATTGTAACAGTTTAACATATGAAGAAAATAATGTTTAAGCACTTATTCATGAATGGCCATAACAGTATAAGGGGTTCAAAAGTTCATGCAAGAATTTTATTAAATTTTAATTCTATTTTCTACAAACTTTGAAACCTCTTAATATTTTAACAGGCTCTGACCCTCTTTCAAAAATTTTTTTGGAATATTTTTCCATGTTTTGAAATCACAGGAACTATTTCCTGGTTAAAGTAAACTATGTAGTATTTAATACACCTTTATCATTTTATATGAATCTCTTCCAGTTAGTTGGCCGGGCAGCTTTCTTTCAAATGTCTTAGCACAGATGAGTGATGCTTCCAGTGCCTTGCTTTTTGCTAACGCCTTCAGTGCAGCTTAGATTTGGTCCTTCAGGACCATCAGTTGTTGATCATATGCTACCTCTTGGAATGGTTTGTCAATGAGTTCTCGATATATGATTCTGTGTATTCCTTCCATTATCTTTCAGGATTCCTAAATTATTCAAGTTAGCCCATAGAATCTTTCCCTATTACAACTCAAAGCTTGGGTGTTTTTTTTCTTTCAATTTACTATGTATTGAGCATGTCCTTTCTTTTTGATGAAGCACTGGAAGCACTCACTAGTTTATGTCAAGAAACTGGGAAGTCAGCCAACTGGCCAATTTACTAGAAGTGATCCCTTATTTGTACCCATTCTAAAGAAAGGTGACCCCACAGAATGTGGAGATTATCAAACAATATCATTAGCATCACATGCAAGTAAAATTGTGCTAAGGACCATTCAACCAGGGTTGCACCTGTACACTGCCAGGGAACTGCCAGAAATTCGAATCAGATTCAAGAGAATATAGAACAAGGAAACTCATTGCTGATGTCAGAGGAATCTTGGTTCACGGCAGGGAATACCAGAAAAATGTTTACTTTTGTTTGATTTATTATGCAAAGGCATTCGATTGTGCAGATCATGATGATGGATAACATTCAGAAGACTGGGAATTCCAGACATTTCATTATGCTCACATGAAACCTGCACATGATGTTTAAGCAGAACAAGGAAATGCTGCACGGTTTAAAACCAGGCATGCAGCAGGATTCTATCCTTTCACCACACCTAACCAATCTGTATGCTGAATAAATAATCTGAGAACTGGGTTACATGAAGATTAAGTTGTCAGGATTGGAGGAAGGCTTATTAACAACCTTCATTATGTAGAGGACACAACCTTGCTTGATGAAAAGTGAGGAGGGAAGCACTTCCTGATGAAGATCAGGGATTCACCATGCACTGCAACTTTCATCGTCAAGAAAACCTAAATCCTCACAACAGATAACATCACGATAATCAGAGAAAAGATTGAAGTTTGCAAGGATTTTATCTAGTTTGGATCCACCATCAGTGCTCAAGGAAACAGCAGTCTCTGAGATCAAATGATGGATTGCGTTGGATAGATCTGCTGCACAAGACCTCTTTTAAAAAGTGTTGAAAAGCAAGGATGTCCCTTTGAGCACTCTGGTGTGCCCGAGTCAAGCCAGGATATTTTATTTTATTAATCATTTTATTGGGGGCCTCTTGCAAATCTTAAAACAATCCATCACTTAGTTGTATTAAGCATACTTGTATATAGGTTGCCAACAACATTTCCAAGACATTTTCTTTCTACCTGAGTCCTTGGTATCAGCCTTTTCCCCTTCCCTCCCCCACCCTCATGAATATTTCCTGTCTTATAGAGTTGTCTCCCTTCACCCACATTTGTTATTCGTCCCCCTCAGTGGGGGGTGGGGGGGTGGCTATATATCCAACCTACCTTCATGGTGTCGCTACCCCTACTACTGTTCCTGAGACTTTTATCTGTCCTGAATTCCATGTGTCACGAGCTCTCATCTGCACCAATGTGTATACTCCGGTCTAGCTGGATTTGCAAGGTAGAACTGGGTCATGGTAGTAGGGGTGGGTGGTGGAGGGAGCATTCAGGAACTAGAGTAATGATGTGTGTTTTGTTGGTGCTATATTTTCAATCACCTTGTATGCATATGAAAGCTGGACATTTAATGACCACAGAATAATTGATGCTTTTGAATTGTGCTAGCAAATATTGAAAGTACCATGGACTGCAAGAAGAACCAGCATCTGCCTTAGAAGTACAGCCAGAATGCTCCCTAGAAGTGTAGACAGCGAGACTCTGTCTCATGTACCTTGGACATGTTCTCAGGACAGACCAGTCCCTGGAGGAGGACATCATGCTTGGTAAGTGGAATGGCAGTGGTAAAGACTTAAAGGACGAGTTGGATTGGACTAGGATACCTTCTTCATATATAATTACTTCATATAAGACTTACTTCTACATTGATAGTGTCACTGGATTTGTTTCTCTAAACAACATGTCCTAACACGGTGCTCGACGGATTTTGTTCAGATTAAAATCTTGCAGATCATCCGTGTTGTGAAATGTTTCACGGAGTCACCATTATTCCTTATTGCTAGGTAGTAAATATTCCATTGTACATATGTACCATAGGCTTTTAAAAATCCACGTATCCACTGATGGACATTGTTCTTATCTTCTTGCTGCTGTGATTAAATGCTACAGTAAACTTAGGTGTGCATATATCTATTGGTGTTCAGCTGTTATTTCTCTAGGATATCATACCTAGGAATACCTGGGATTACTAGAGCATATGGTATTTCTGATTTTAGCTTTTTAAGGAAGTGCCATACTGCTCTTCACCGTGGCGATAAGTGCCATTTTGCAGTCAATCTGTTAGTGTATGAGTTCCCACCAACCTACTGCAATCTACCTAAAAAAGCCTTGCCAACATTTGCTGTTTTTTAATCAATATCATCATGAGTGGAGGTGAGAAGGATGTGTGTGGGTGTGATGCTCTCCTAGTTTTGATCGGCATCTCTCTAGGGGCTAAAGGCTGCAGGCATCATTTCACATGTTGTTAGTCCGCTTGAATGTCTTCTTTGGTGACATGTCTGTTTTTGTCTTCTGTCAATTTTTAGTTGGAGCATTTATCTTTTTCTTGTTGAGATACTTAAGTTCTCTATAAATTTTAGAGATTGGATCTTTGTCAGGCAGGTCTTTGCCCACAGAATCGCCCTCATTTGTAGGTTATGTTTGACTTCTGGTGGGGCCTTTGATGAGCATGAGCACTTAAGTTTTAAGAGGGCTCCAGTCTCTAGTTTATATGAGTGACAGCCTGTCCATTTTCAGTTCTGCTTAATGGTCTATTTATGCTATAAATTAAGGTCCCAAGGTTTACCCTATGATTTCTTTCATTAAGTTTATAGTTTGGGGTTTAATATTTAGGCCTTTGATCCATTTTGAATTAGTTCTTGGGTATTGTGTGAGGCATGAATACTGTTTTCATTTTTCTGCAAATGGATATCTAGTTTTGCCAGCACCATTTATTAGAGACAAGTTCTTCCCCATTTAGTGGACTTCAATTATTTTTTCAAAGAGCATGTATATCTTCCAGTTTTTTACAGAATTAGAATATAAGCTCAATGACAAAGCAATTCAGGAATTTTATGAAGAAATTTCTAAATGCAATAAATGTCTGTTAGTATTAAGTTTGATAAAGTTAGCTTTTGATTTTAGTAACCTATAAGCTATTTCAGACAATCATTTCTTAAAAATAAGCTGTAGAAATGATAAGAGGCAGTGGGAGTCAATGATACATCCCCAGGGTCTCACACAGTGCCTGGTCCCCTGGACATGAATATCAGGGTTTGTTTATTTTAAGATGGCTGTTTGAAGGAAACAGCAGTTTCATTTTTGGAAAAAAAAAGGGGGGGGGCAGGAGGGGGGAATTCTTGCTAAAATTTTTATAGTCCAAGGAAAAAAAGCTTGAAAGTTACAGCCAAAACAACAGTGGATCAGTAATCTGCAAAGCAAGGATATAATCGAATAATCCACCCATGCTTCCTGAAGCTACGGTAAAACTCCCAAATGTACCACTTTATGTATGACCTTACAGTGAATAGGTTAGAAAGCGATTCAAGGAGTCTTTTGATAAAATCCAGTTGTGGTCTGTCCAGTTATGAATTCATAATGACAGAACAGATGGCTTCTCATTGGAAATCACAAATTCAAATTTCTTAAAAATATATATTATAGATATGTAAAAAGTTTCTGAACACTTCTACTGTAGATATAGAAAAGATTGCTAGTTCGTTGGATTTCTCTTGCAAAAAATATTAAGAGTATTATAAAAGTGGATCAATGAAGTAGGCATTAATGTAAGGAATCGATACATACCACATGAAGAGTTAATTAAAGCACTAGAAAGTCACATGCATTTCAAGCCATGCAGGAGTGCTTTGTGACCCGAGACGAGGCTGCTGGGCAGGGGACAGACTTCTTCAAGTACTGCCTAAAACAAAGTTACAACTGCTGTTAGGTATTAGTAATAACTGAAAACAGCTTATTTAGTCAAGAAGTTGTTAAAAGCAGCTACTGAAAAGACTGGTACTTAAAAAATAATCTGACCTAAATTATTTTAATAAAAATAAGCTAGTACATGATGAAATAAATTCCAGTGAAAGCATTTAACTTTTCTGAGCCTTGGTTTGTTTATGCATAAAATGAAAGTTGGCTATACAGGGGTCTTTCAGAATTAAAATTCAGAACATTAGTGTGGACCACTCAATATATTTCACAATAGTCTCGTAAATCTTGAGCTAAGACACATTAATAAATTGCCTAGGATGTTGAATTAACTTGCATTTCTAGCCACAATGCAAAACAGTTTCTTGCCTCTGCTCACATAATATGTTAACTTCCTAACTTTTAATCTGATGATGAGAAATGGTATCTCATGTTGTTTTTATCTCTCGGTTCACTAATGTTGAATAAAAGAATCCCATATATGTAAGGGCCATTTAACTTTATTTTTGTCAGTGGGCTGCTTGTTTTGGAACTCTGCCTGTTTTTAGGGACAGGTCATTTTTATCATTGGATGGTAAGTCTTGGTATTACTTATAAACAGTTTTCCCATGTATCTGCTTTCCTTAGGTGTCCAGGGGCCATTCCGCTCAATCTTCACTATATTTTGTCAGAGCTTGCAGTACTTTTCCATTCCCGCCTACGTGACATAGTTTTGTGATTATGTTATCTCCCCTCTGAATAGCCTGTCTTTGGGACGGGCTGAGTTTAGCCTTCAAGTCTGCCTAGGAACAGATAAGGGGGTTTCCATACAAGGTGTGACTTTTTTTTAGATAAAGCACCTATATCCTGCTTCCCCTTGATTGGGTAGGAGATTGTCTTCACCCTATTTACATATCTAGTGCCTGCACCTGATTTGCATAAAATGACGTCACTTCCCATACCTGGTTGAAGACTGTAAACCATTACTGAGGGCGTGCTCCCCATACTCCTTGATTGGTCTATTACCAAAGTGGCCTAATTTACATGTGCGATGGGTGTTTCCCTTCCCCTGGCCTATATAGGCTGCAACCTTTCACTCAATAAAGAGAGACTTGATCAGAATACTGTCTTGTCTCCGTTTCTCCTGTCTCTTGTTCCCCTCAATTCCCACTCCCTCCTCCAGGGTCTGTGTTGACGTTCCTGCGGATCGGGACACTTAGGTGTTCAGATTTACCCATAATCCATTGCTGCTGAGTAGATTCCAACTCACACCAACCCTACAAGAGCAGAACCGCCCCACAGGGCTTCCAAGGAGCTCTGGTGGGATGGTGGTTAAGGGCTGGGCTGCGAACCTTTTGGTGGTGGCCATGAACCTACCAGCCAATGATGAGGGAGAAAGATGTGGTTGTTCGCTTTTGTAAAGATTTCCAGTGTTGGCAACTCTATGGGGCAGTTCTATTCTGTCCCTTAAGGTGGTGATGAATTGGAATACGCAATGGCTGTGGATTTTAGGACTGCTTACTGGCAAGATGTACTACAGACATTTATTTAATAGTTAATAATATAACTCAAAACCCAAACTCACTGCCATCGAGTCAACTTCAACTTGTAGTGACCCTATACGACAGAGCAGAACTGCCCCTGTGGGTTTGAGAGACTATAACTTTATCAGAGTAGAAAGTCCCATCTTTCTCCAGCCAACCTTCAAACTGCTGAACTTGTGATTAACAGCCCAATCCATAGCCCACTATGCCACCAGGGCTCCAGTTAATACAGCATATACTAAAATAAAAAATGTCTAATTTACAGCTTATGGAATATACATGATCATCTTGAGTGTTGCCACCAAGAGGGAAAGAACTCTGGCCAGATATATGGATTACAGATTGAACTTCTTTCTTCATATGTGAAAACCTACTGCCATCCAGTCAATTCCGACTCAAAAGGATCTTAGGACAGGGTAGAAATGCTCCTGTGGGTTTCCAAGACTGTCACTCGTTATGGGAGTAGAAAGCTTTGTCTTTCTCTAATGGAGTGGCTGGTGGTTTCGAACTGCTGACTGTGGCTACCAGTCCAATGAGTAACCACTATGCCAGAGGGGGCTAAACCAGATATGGAGTACATGGGTGGTGCAAATGGCTAAAATACTTGGCTGCTAAATGAAAGGTTGGCAGTTCCAGTAACACCTAGAAGCAACTTGGAAGAAAGTTCTGGCAGTCTGCTTTAGAAAAATCAGTCATTGAAACCACCTGGGGCACAGCTTTACCCTGACACCCAGGGGCAGCCACGAGTCGGATTTGACTTGACAGCAACTCACAAGAACTAGGTATGCAGAGACAGGTAATGTTTGTTGGGCCCTATATGAGGGGCTTCAAAACGTTTGTGGAAAAATGGGAATAAAAGATAATGGAATATTTCCGGGAACTTTTTGAACCCCCGCCCCCCTTGCATTTCTGTATTTATTTCCACTAGGACTTATTTTAAAGTATATTTTTAAAAAAGTAAATATTAAACCACCTCACCATAGCCTTCCTTTCCATAGGCGAACGCAGGGGGTATAATTACTTTTCGCTTCTCTCCAGGGCACATATCCATCATAGCAATGTCTAGTCCTTTTATGACTTGACCAACACCAAGAACAAACCATTTGGGATGGCCTTCGTTTTGTGTCCGGCTACAATGAAACACAGCATCCTGGTAAAATGACTTCAGGACAAATGAATTCAAAATTCAAAACCCTGCTGGGCAGTTAGTTATAAAATTGGAGTCCTCTATAACGCTGTTTTCCTATATTAACATTCATTCTGAACCCCTTAGGGGCTGTTTGGCTTAAATGCCTCTCATTAACAGTAAGAAAAGCTATAATTTGCCCATCCGAAGCCTTTTTTCTTGTCACCTTTACAAAAAGTATTCAACAGTTAACTCTTTAATCGGTCTCAAGGCCCTAACTAGATGCCTGGCTTGTTCAAATCCCGCAACCTCTCTGGGTTTGTTCATGAAAATGAACAATTTGCAGTTCAATTTGAAATGACTCCTAAAATCATTTTAATAGTCATTTAAAATTTCATTTTTTAATTAAATTTTTCCTATTCCAAATGGGAAGAGCTGGAGTTGATTCTGGATTGCGACTCATAGTGACGCTCTGAGACTGTAAATCTCAGCAGCCCCACCTTTCTCCCGGGGAGCAGCTGGTAGGTTTGAATTCCTAATTCAAAACTGAACGCGGAGATGGGAACCGATCTCTGAGTAATAATAGCCTAATCAGAACTGAGCAGTGGTGAGTGGAAGAGGCCAGAGAGGGGGAACAGCATCGTCACCAGGCACAGCCACTGTCAGAAAGTGGCCTATAAAAACTGTGCTTCTGAATGCTGAACAAAATCTGAGCACACCCTCTTAAAGCGCCCTACGGTAGGAAGAGACCTGGGAGCATCACTACAGAGAATACTCTGAGGGTGGGGACTGGGGAGTAGTTGTGGATGCTGACCTCTCCTGGTCCAAGATTTTCAATAAATAAACTTAAAAGTGACAGTACAGAATGTAACTATTGTAATTAAATCTCTTCACAGGAATTAAAAGGCACAACAAAACAACCCCCTAAATAGGAACCGGTTAGGCTTCTAGGTTTCCGTGGAGGTAGTAGCTTAACCACTGTTCACAGCATTTCTTACCTGCAGTAGAATTTCAAGCCATCTTTGGCCAAGTAACCGTCGTAGTGGGCATTCAGCAGGTCGCCTTTCTTGCTGGTCTTAGAACAGTTTTCGGGGCGAAACAACACTTCTATTTTCACTTCTTCGGTGCCCTCCGCTTTCCTTTGCCCCAGAAGAGTAAAAAAGCTCCAAACGTAAAAACCAAAGACTAAGCAGAATACGGAATGCATGGTTTCCCCGACGTTGGCTGGGAGGCTACGCCGTGCGCCCTGCGCCGCGTGGCTTGCGCCCCGTGGCGGTCGGTCCCGCCGAGTTCCGACGCGTGGCAGGCATTGCAGTCGTCACAAAGGGCCGGGTGGGGCGCTCGCAGACCCCGCCCTGCAGGCCCGCCTCCGGCCTCCCCCCCTCCTCTGCAGTTTGTTGGCCAGGAAGGCCAAGACTAGAGGATCCTCCCCCGAACTGGCTGAGGCCCTGCACTCCTTTTTAGTCGCCAAAGCATCGCTGCACCCTGGCACTTTTCTCCTGGCTAAGTTTGCATATTTTACAGCAGTTTACATTAGAAACACCCAAACCCATTGCCATTACTGGATCCCACTCACTGGATTCCGACCCACAGCGATCCTACCCTTACAGGACGGTCAGCCTCCTCTTTCCCAGGAAGAGCGGTTGGTGGGTGGGAGATAGGCCTTATGCTTAACAGTCCAACGCTTTAGGCCACAGTTTCCTAAAAAAAACCTAGCAAATAAGGAGGTGTGTCACTCCATCCCCTCCTTCAGTCAAGCTTCTGGTGTTTCTGGCTGCAGAAGACTTCTATGGGAATTAGGGAGCTACCGGATATAGGGGAGCTATTCTGGAAGAGGTTAAGAAATCAGCTGGTGGTGGCTGTCTTGGAAATTCTGGGACAGCTTTGAAAAACTTTTCAGGATCAGAGATGGATTAAGCGGTTCCACAGAGCCACACGCAACCCGATGGATGCTACTTGCCCGTGACTGACTAAACACTGAGGTGCCTCTGAAACTCAACTGTGAAAGGTAGTTCCCACAAGTGGACTTGGCGATTCTGGACCCACTGATCTTTGACATTTCTTTTCCCCATTTGCCTCACGCCTGTTTTTGATTTGAGGGCCCACTGGTGTCACAGGGGTCAAGTGCTCACTCTGCTGCTCATAGAAGGTTGGCTCTTCAAGCACCCAAATAGTGGCTCTGTAGGAGAAAGGCCTGACATCTGTCCCCAGAAAGATTACAGCCTAGAAGACCCTATGGGGTAGTTCTCTGTCATAAGGTGTCCCCAGGAGTAAAATCCACTCGATGGCACCTAATAACCATATGGCAGAAAAGATCTGGACATTGTCACTTTGGGATTGGCAATTATTCCCATTACACGCACCAGGAAAACATGGTCCAGCACTGGGCATCTTGTTACAGTCTCACCGCTCATAGCCCCCTTTTCACGTTTTAGTCAGAAAATTTCAAACGCACAAAATGTGGAAAGTTAGTTTACAGTTGTGAAATGACAGTTTCTGGAGTCCAAAATTTTAGGAAAAAGTATATTTGGGAGAAATCCAAATTTCTGCAACAAGGAAGGCCCGGTGCTCAAGAGGAGAAATCAATGACATTAGATATCAAAGACAAAGAAGCTCTGAGAATTTGGGAAAAAACATAATAGATTAAGGAAAATTGTCCTTTAAGCAAAGGTGGGTCCTTTGAAAGTACTGGGGAGCAAGTTTGTGGTTGGGCCAGAGTCATAGCTGCAAGGGGTCCTGGCTTGACTGTTTCAGAAGGATGTGGATTTGGAAAGACCAGTTAGGTCTCCAGGTGGAAAGTACCTGAGACTGTGCTGATGGTTATGGCCATTTCTAGTTGAGACAGTGAAGGCAGTGAGCCCATCCTGTAGATTCTATCAGTGTTCAACTGTACTACTCAGCTGCAACAATGGGCTCACACACACAAGCACTTGTGATGATGACAAAGGACCAGGCAGTGTTTATTCTGTTGTACACAGGGCTGTGATGGGTTGGAACCGACTTGATGGCTCTTAACAAAAACATCTGCCCATTCTTCCAATCCACCCTGTTTCCAAGGACACTAGAGCACTATAACAAAGGCCTGGATTCGTTCTTTCAAGGGTAGCTGTAATTCTACATCACTAATGTCATGAACAGTTCAAGTGGTATAGTGGGCTACACAGTAGGCTGCTTACCAAAAGGCTGGCAGTTCAATACCACCAACAGCTCTGAAACTTGTGACTTTCTACTCCTGTAAAAGATTTACAGTCCTGAAGACCCGCAGGGGCAGTTCTACCCTTCCTAAAGGCTCACCATGTTAGAATGGACTTGGTGGCAGCTAGTTGTTTTGAAATGTGATAACACAGGGCCTACCCTGCTTCACTTCAAGCTTGTAAAATGCCATAAATGTGAAAACTATTGTCAATTACTTGGCTATCATTTCCAAACAGTATTTTAAGAATAAAAAAAGCTAAGGAGAAGCTCCCATTTTCAGAAAAATATTAAAGCACCAAATTTAGTTTTATATTCTAAATGTGATTGTGACTATTCAAAATTAACAGCTAAAATCACAATTCCTTGGGGCTCCTCCCGGTGTTTGTTGGTTTGTTTTTTGTTTGCAGGATTAGGCACTACTTTGTCGATTCCCATACTGTGAGGAGAAGGGGAAGGAAATATAAATAGGATGCCTGTGCTCTGCAGAGACCTGAGCTGAAGTTACAGGAGAGCCCAATGGGCCAACGTCAGAAACAGCAGGAGGAGCGCGAGAGGTGCCAGGTGTCTTTGGGTGGGTCCCGGGGGCGGGTGGGGTCTGGCGCTTCGGGGTCCAAGTTCACCAGTCCTGGGTCTGGAGGCTTTGGCCCCAGGGCGGGGCTGAGGATCAGGCTGGGGGCCCAAGGGCGCCGCAGCAGGGGGCGGCGCCAGCGTGGAG